CCTTCAACAAGTGCTGCTAAGAAAACTGGACAACAACTTGCAAAAAAAAAAAAAGAAAGAAAGAAAGAAAGAAAGAAAGAAAGAAAGAAAGAAAGAAAGAAAGAAAGAAATAAATCAGTCTATTGCCGGGCACAAAAGTCAGATCAAAGTGGATCACAGAACTCATTATCAGAGCAGAATCCATAAGGTACATGAAAGAAAATGTAGGCAGAATCCTCTGTGACACTGAAGCTTAAAGCATCTTTAAGGATGAAACACCAATGACCAAGAAAGTGGAAACAAACATAAACAAATGGGAGTATATTAAACTAAGAAACTTCTGCACTTCAAAATATACAGTGACCAAAATACAGAGAGAGCCCACAGAATGGGAAAGAATATTCACCCAACACCCATCTGATGAGCTGGAGCAATAGCACAGCGGGTAGGGTGTTTGCCTTGCACACAGTCAATCCAGGTTCAACCCCTCTGCCTCACTGGTAGAACCCGGCTAGCTACCGAGAGTATTATCTCATCCGCACGGCAAAGCCTGGCAAGCTACCCATGACGTATTTGATATGCCAAAAACAGTTACAAAAAGTCTCACAATTTGTCGTGAGACGTTACTGGTGCCTGCCCAAGCATATCAATGAACAACAGGAGGACAGTGCTACAGTGCTACTCATCTAATAAAGGGTTAATATCCAGGACATACAAGACATTAGAAGAATTAATTGTACAAGGAAGAACCTCCAACCCCATCAGAAAATGGGGAGAAGAAATGAACATATGTTTTCTCAAAAAAGAAATACAAATGGTCAAAGGCCCATGAAAAAATTCTCTACATATCTAATCATCATGGACGTGCAAATCCAAACAACAATGAGATATTATCTCACAACACAGAGACTGGTACATATCAAAAAAGAACAATAAAATCCAGTGCTGGCATGGATGTGGGGAGAATGGTACTTTGAAAATTTAAGTACCACACATTTTATTTACATTTTTTTTATTTTGGGGGGTCAAACCCGGCGATGCTCAGGTTACTCCTGGCTCTGCACTCAGGAATTATCCCTGGCGGTGCGCAGGGGACCATATGGGATGCTGGGAATCAAACACGGGTCGGCTGCATGCAAGGAAAACACCCTACTGACTGTGCTATCACTCCAGCCCCTCTACTACACATTTTAGAGCTTGGTGTTGAGGTCACTGGTCAATAAACTCTCAAGTGTAATTTAAAAAAAAAGTAAAAAAAGAATGCCAACACTAATTACATATATATAGGTAAACAAAAAAATTCATTTTAAAAACAATCAAAGAATGAAAACTCATATCCATGTAAATAACGGAGATTATTAATGCCTTCAAATGTTTTATCTTTTGTTATAGAATTTGCAAGAGCCACTCAAACTTTCTTTTAATTTTCATCTTTATCTTGAGTGATAAGCCAATAGTCCCAATTTCCTTAGATACCTAAATTTGAGTCAATAATTGATATATTTTTGCAGTGATGGGGAGAAACTAGTGCATGGAGAGGGAACCATAGTGAACAGTGCACAGGAGTTATTTCTGGCTCGAACCAGGGTTTTTACGTGGTGCCAGAGGTTTGAACCGGGACAATGGTTGCTGTCTCAGCATGCGAAGCTACTGAGTTCATGTTCCACCCTCGGCCCAAACGCACCCACCACATGCTCAGTGCTTACTCCTGCCTCTGTGCTCAGGGATCATCAAGATGACCACATGCAAGTAAAGGGCCGCACTGCTAATTCCATCACTCCAATCCTCAACAATACTTAAATGATGATATTGAAATGATGGAAGAAGAATGCTGACATCCTGGTGGTGGATGTGGCACAGTGACATTGCATGCCTGAAACATTACTATTGACAGCATTATCATTCACAGTGTTTAAATTCAAAAAAATTAATGAATACATGACAGAAGAAGGAGAGTCCTCTTAATATATAGTTATAAAAAAGAAACAGAGGGCCAAAATAGGGTTGAGGTCAAGTCAGAACAGTATTGATGATCAGTGTTATTATGCAATTAAACATTGATATTTTCTTCTTAGTCAATTGTTTATTTCAATTTGCTGCCTGATGAACGTAGATATATGAGTGTGAGGCTTTGTTCATTATTTAAGTATGTTCCTATCCATGGCACAAGATATAGGATGATTAATTACATTTACTAATAAAAATAAAAACAGACAAAGAGAAGAAATGAAAACAGAGGAGGTCGGTAAAAAAAAGAAACACAGAAAAAGAAAAATGAACAGAAAACAGACAAAATATGAACGTGTTAACCACCTTCCTATCCTCAGTTTACAACATAGTCTCTGCTTTCATTTCTTTAGTCCTGAAAACAATTCTATGAGATGCACATTATTAAGCACATTTTAGAAGTGAAAAATAGAAAACAAAACAGGTATTTGAGGAATACAAAGTCACTAAAAGTAATTACTTCAAGTTAATTTGACTCAAGCGCCTAAATTTTTTCCATCATGCCCTGCTGCTATAGAGAAAGCCATTAAGCAAGTGTGAGAAAAGGATTAACCATGTTTCAACTGATACAATAAATAAGACAATGACAACACACAAGCTGCCAAGTAGGAAAGTTACTTTAAAAATATAATATAAATATAAAATTTACCAACAATAAAGTGGAATTTATAAAGAAGAAATACCAACCAAATTATTATTGTTGGCTTTATGTTTTTCTATGTTACTATAAAACACTGTTTAATCAGTCATTTAGGATAAACATCTAAGTTTAACATTTCATTGTTTCTAAAATAATTGAAAAGTTATAGCACAGCGGGTAGGGCGTTCGCCTTACAAGCGGCCAACATGGCCGACCCGAGTTCGATTCCTCTACCCCTCTCGGAGAGCCCGGCAAGCTACCGAGAGTATTCGATATGCCAGACACAGTAACAACAAAGTCTCCAATGGAGACGTTACTGGGCCCGCTTGAGCAAATCGACGATCAACGGGAGGGTCTTTACCTTTACCTTTACCTATTCTAATTATTAGTTATTGAATGATGTAAAATCAATAATATACATGCATTATTATTTAGCTTTAATAAATATATAGTAAATATTTATATTTTCTTTATAAAATACACTATAAAATTATATAGATTGGCATAAATTTGGAGACGCCCTGTTCGATTTCTAAATATATATTACTTTACAAATACTATGGTATTTCTTTGTAAATTCCTTAAAGATTGACTTTAAGAAATTACAAATTTCTTAAAGGGCTTTTCTTTAATAAATAGATAAGTTATATTTGAGATTAGAATTTCAACTACTTTAAAACAAGTTTGAAAAAATGATATCCCTATTTAAAAGTTTTCAAGGTATTATTAATTATGACTTAACTGCCAGAAATTAGCTTTTTCCCTAAAGTGCATTGTACGTTTTCTGTGAAATATTATTTACTCATTGTTTAAGAATTATTATAAAAAACTAAATACCAAATTCTAAATAAAACTAAAAACATCATTTCTGAAATAATTCATAAAAGACTAGTTTTAAATAATAGTTATCAAATGGAGAATATGCTTTCACTCATGACTTGAATAAAAATGTTTTTCAACCACACTCTGGAGAAAAAGATTTCCTAGCCAAACTTTTCATAAAACAGGAGAAAAAAATCTTGAAAAATTTCTCTGAAAAAAATACATATGCCAGATATCTACAAATCTAAAAAAAAAAAAGGAAAAAGGAAAAGAAAAGAAAGAAATCTAATAGAGTCCTTAGCATATGGAATAAGATCTCTGTTATCCAACAGGGCAGTAAAGGCAAAGAAGAAATTATAAGTCATGACTTATAAAGTAGTTATAGGTTAGAATAACTCAGCTAAAAATATAATTATAACCACAATAATTTAAATACTTAATTTTTATTTCTGTATCTAGATTTTAAATTTTTTTTCTATATATATTTTATCATGTAACAACCAACTTGTAATATTTACAACCAAATAAACTAAGAATTACTAAAAAACAGAGCTAATCCCAGGAAAAAGTCAAGAATATAGCTCAAGATTTTCCACCACCAAGTTTGCACTGGAAATTTTTTTACTGATATTAAAGGGAGAACTGCAATGTGCTTTGTGAAATGTTCACCATTATTACAGGTCTCTATCCACCGGGTAACAATGGCATCCATCAACCAAGACAAAGAAAAAGGTCTGGAGACATTACTAATGTCTCTAGATGGCAAAATTGCTTCTAAGTCTATAGACAAGTCTATTTTGCATAGAAAACCACCAACATAAGATAAAAAGAAGAGAAAGAGGAAAAAAGATGAAAGAAGAAATAAAGGAAAGGAGGAAGGGAAGAGAAAATTAGGGAGGGAAGATAAGAATACAAGTAAGGAAAACTGGGAACATTGATGGTGGGAAATGTATACTGGTGAAGGACTGGCTGTTGAAGGACTATATGACAGAAACCCAACTACAAACAACTTTGTAACTGTATATCTCACAATGATTCATAAATTATGAATCACAATGATTCATAAATTTTAAAAAAAGAATACATGGCACTATCAAACACAATTATATTAAATGTATAGTTGATGGAATGGATGTTTTTAACTTTTCATAAAATCAATATTTTGTATTTAAAAAAGTATTTATGTAAATAAAATTTTGTGTTCTTAAAAATTAAAAAAAATAGTAGCCTTCTTCTTATTTCTTACTTCTAACTTAAGAGTAACCCTACCTTCCTGCTGTCTCCCAGAAATAAAAATAATTGCAGTCTTTGTTTTCAGTTTTGAAGGCAAGAGAAGAGCTTTTTCCTCTGACTCTACAGATGATTTCTGAAAGTGTTCTCCAGGTGACCTGAGATGACTGACAAGTCTATTTTGCATTTACAAACAAGTTTAATAGGACCTGCATATTAACAAGAGCAATAATTTGTTATAGGAAACCAGAATTAATTTCGCATTCACTAATTACCTAGAAACTACTCTTTTAAATTCTCATTTGATTACCATTTCGCTTACCATAGATGTAACTGATCGTGCATCTTCTTCATAGTTTACTACTGGAGGTGGCTCTTTCCCATCATTTTCTTGAACTTTTTGCTCTAAAAGTTCTTTCTGAGCTGTAAACTTTGCTTCAGTGCATCTCAGCTGCTGGACCGACTGTTTCAGTTCTTCAAGAGTCTGCTTTTGGCTCAGCAGAAGCACAATACTAAAAGAGAAGATGTTAAATATAGATTATGTCAAAGTTCTTAAACTGTTTTAAAAGAATTAAATAGGCATATGTGTTTTTTGCCGATTTTCCTATTTACAAGTTCTTCAAGATCCTAAAAATTACAAAACTAAGCAGACTCGAGGCGTTATAATCAATAGTTATTAAATACGAGCATTAACAAAAATGAAAGGACATGTTTTGAACCAGAAAACAAATTTAACATACTGTAAATATACTACGGTCTGTGGCATTCAGTTTATTTCACAATTAAGCCATCTACCTCAGGAAGTATAGACAATTAAAACTAGAGACACAGGGCCTCGAAGACAATAGTCACGTAGCCACATTCTGGCCTCTACTCAATATTTCTAAGACATGCTCATTCAGATGGAAATAACATTATATTTTCCAAAAATTATAATTATTAAAATTATAAATAATATTTTCTTAAAGTCACCTTCTGTAAGTCGCATAAGTCTGTCGCTGCTGCTTGAGGTGTCAGATCTCTCTGCCACTTCCGATTCCAATTTGCAGACTAAAATACTATCCTAGATGTATACCCTCAATCTTCCAAATACACATTAGAATTTACATTTATCTAGATTCTCAAGTAGATCATTGAATTTAATTTTTCTCTTCCTAATATGTCAGATATTAATCTGATTATTCAACCAGACTGAAAAGAACCTACAGGGGTAGGGGGAAATTTCCTCTCCTTCAAAAACAGTTTCTTAAATATGCTATAGGCTACTGAGGAAAATTATTAATGTATAAGAAATTATAGCTGTCAATGAGGAAAAGCTTCAATGAATGAGGATAAGTACTCAAAAAGCAACCTTCTGAAATTGGAACTTAAGGAATCAGCATCAACTGAGCAAGTCATCACAGGCAGAAGGAACTCGTACAGAGTTGTTTTTTAATATATAGAACTGTACAGCACTGTATAGCAGTGTCCTCCCGTTGTTCATGATTTATTCGGGCAGACACCAGTAACATCTCCATTGTGAGACTTGGTGCTACTGTTTTTGGCATATTCTAATACATCACAGGTAGCTTGCCAGGCTTTGCCGTGCGGGCAAGATACTCTCAACAGCTTGCCGGGCTCTCTGAGAAGGGCTGAGGAATCGAACCCAGGTCTGCTGCGTGCAAGGCAAACGCCCTACCCACTATGCTATTGCTCTGGCCCTTTTTAATATATAGCTGATCAATGCTTTTAAACTTTTTAATATATAGCTGATCAATGCTTATAAACAGGGAATGGGCTTTTTAATTTTTTTTATTTATTTTCTATAGTCAAAAGTATATTTATTCATTGTCCGTGATCCATCTCAAACCCCATGATGCTATTATGAAGAGTTCTCAACCAAAAGAGATGGTTGAGGAATAGCATTTTTAAAAAATACCAGTTGATGGTACTACATGGACATAAGTGAAATGAGTCAGAAAGAGAGGGACAGACATAGAAAGACTGCATTCATCTGGGGAAAAATAAAGTAATAAAATAGGAGACCAACATCCTATAATAGTCAATATAAGTTACAGGAGGTTTACTCCATGGCTTGAAGGCCAGCAGCACATGATACGGGAAAGGGCAGCTCAGACAGAGAGGGAACACCAAGTAAAGGTGTTGGGAGGATTCTCCAAGGATGGGAAATGCATGCTGAAAGTAGACTATAGACTGAACATGTTTGCCACTCAATGCCTCTTTTGCAAACCTTAGCAACCAAAAGTAGAGAAAGAACAAAAGGGAATGCCCTGCCGCAGAGGCGGGACGGGATGGGGTTATGGAGGGTTGAGAGGGTTACTGGGATCATTGGTGGTGGAGAATGGGCACTGGGCACTGGGTACGCGATCAGTATATGACTGAAACCCAAGTACAAAAACTTGTAAGGTCAACATGGTGCTTCACTAAAAAAAAAAAAAAAAGTAAACAAATAAAAATGGATTTAATATAAAAATACCATTTGAAAATACCTCAGTGAATGATGTTTAAAAAAATCTCTAGTGGCCTGTGTTATATTTCAATGAATTTCAGATAACCATCATAACAAACAGATAGGGAATTAAGTAAATCTGAAAAACAGTAGAACCATTAATGACTATGGTAAGTGATAAGATGTACTACTCTTCAAAAGACTAAAGATCACAATTAATAAAATTAACTAGATCAGTATATACTATATGCTGAGAGGTAATTAGCATTTCCCAAACAGAATCATGATAACACAGTAGACATGAAAGAGATTTTGTTGAATTAATTTCTTATTTACATAGCACATTTTATTAATACTTGTGAAACATTTAAAATAATAGAGTTGTTTTAAACATATAAATGCATTTATACACAGATACACAGAAGAAGGGATTAAGAAACTGAAGAGCAAAGATTTTTCTTACAATCTCTTTTTAGACTATTTGCTTAGCAAACTATTTGAATATGTAATTCAAAGGCAAACATCAACCCTCCTCATATCTGACTTACGAGATTTCACAATGATTGATTATATAAGTACACTTAACATTTTCAAGATTATGTCCTGAAGCTAACAATAAAAACTTCTTGGTAACAGAAAAAACAGAACTTGAATTAAATAGGACACTGCCTCTGAATTACCTGAAATCTTTCTCCCGTCTAACTTATTCTCTTAAGAGTAAATGAAAATCAAGAAAATGTTATAATCAAGAAAAGATTATACTCAACATTTAATCAAGAATCAAGAAATCGAGAATCAAGAAAATGTTATATTCAAAGGACATTTTGTAGAGTTTGTGTATTTTCTTCTATATCCTAGGTATATAATTTTAAGTAAGTTAATCAAAATTACTAACCCCTAAGAGTAAAATACAGTAAGTACTGTAGAAGACATAATAAAACTAATATTCAGTGAGTTCTGCTAAATAAAATAGCACACTGTCCTCCCGTTGATCATTGATTTGCTCAGGCAGGCCCAGTAACTTCTCCATCATGAGACTCCTTACTGTGTTTGGCATATCGAATACTTCATGGGGCGCTCTCCAGGCTTTACGGTGCGGGCGAGATACTCTCGGTAGCTTGCTGGGCTCCCCGAGTGGGGCGGAGGAATCAAACTTGGGTCAGCCTCCAGGACTGCATGCAAGGCAAACACCCTATCCGCTGTGCTATCGCTCCAGCCCTACATAAAATATCAAGAATAAAACATAGAATAGAATGGAAAACTTAAAAGTACTACTTCCTGGGGCCAGAGCAATAGTACAGTGTGGTGGGAAGTTTGCCTTGCACATGCAGACACTAGTTCAGTTCCCAGCATTCCATATGGTCCCCAGCACTACCAGGAGTGCAGAGCCAGGATTATCCCCTGAGCATTGCTGATGTGACACAAAAACAAACAAACAAAAAAAGTACTAGTTCATTGGGCTGGAGCAATAGCACAGCGGGTAAGGCGTTTGCCTTGCAAGCGGCCAACATGGGTGACCCGAGATCGATTCCCCCGCCCCTCGCGGAGAGCCCGGCAAGCTACCGAGAGTATCTTGCCCACATGGAAAAGCCTGGCAAGCTACCCGTGACATATTCAATATGCCAAATACTGTAACAATTGTCACAATGGAGACATTACTGGGCCCGCTCGAGCAAATCCATGAACAATGGGAGGACAGTGACAGTGACTACTTCTCATATATCCACCCCAATTTCCCAGGAGCCACACTCTTCTACTTACATACTTATTGATAAATATAAATAGGGGAAGAACATGAATCTCATTATATAGTGAAGAGAGTCAAAGACCAGAGTTTAAAAAAAAAAAAAAAGCAACGGCAAGGAGAGCTGGCATATACCAATCTGGTAGAACTCTTTAATGGAAGAAGGAGGAGGAGAAATGGGAGGGAAAAAAAAATGAAAGAAATTCACAGTTTGCATAGTAGGGAAAAAACTAATATGAAGGGCTTTAGAGGAAATAACAGGAACTCTCAACAGGGGCTTTTTTGGCAGGGTGTTGCCCTCATCCCAAGCAGCTGCCCCTCAACACCAGAGGCACTTTCATGCCTCGGGCTGGACTCCACAGCCACAGTACTGAGCACCACTGAGAACCTAATCTGATGGAAACTGCAGGTACATGGGTCTCTATGGCTGAAAACTCCAGGCCTTCTCAGAGACAGAGTGGGAAACCTCCCCCCGCCCCATCCTATACTTCCAGAAGACATGATTGTCACACCCAGTTAAATATTTAGCTGCCCAGTTAACTGCCCATATAAATATTCTGAATTTTCTGGAGCACATGACCGCTAATGTGGTGCAACATATTCAAATTCTACAACACTGACATCCCTGTAGTAGCAAACCGGACTGGATGATACAGAAACCAACTAATGTCGACTAACAAAAGCATTTAACATAGAAGTCTTAATTTTCAATAATGACTTAGTAAACCATCAGACAGGGACTTAATGTCTCCATGGTGAGATACAACAATTTTCACAAAGTTTGTTCTACAGAAATAATTTTTTGATCATTCCATTAGCTATTTAATAAAAACAAGCAATGTCAAATAAACTGTCGTGGGCCTGCTACAGGGGCAGGCTTTAGGGGTGGTTGGGAAAGTGAGACAAGGATTTAGGAAGGTAGTGGTGGGATTGGTGTTAGTATATTGAATGCTGTAACAAATATCATGAACAACTTTGTAAACAATGGTGTTTAAATAAAGTGGGGGAAAAAAAGTAGATCGATATTCAGAAAATAGTTCAAACCATTAAATCACTGAAACATATGATGTATACACTGTATTGGAAAAAGAGATTCTTTTTTCTTTATTTGGGGCCACACATGGTGTTGTACAGGGAGTGCTCCAGCTTGGTGCTCAGGGGAACATGAACTTGGGCTGAGAGTAGGCCACCTACATGCAAAGCCAGCATTCCAGTTAACTGTGCTCTCTCTTCAACCCCAGATTCAGATCATAGAGTGATTCACAAGGTTTTACACACAAAACTAAAATTACAATCTCTAGGAATTTTTACAGCTACAATAACATAATATGAAGTAGTTTGGTAAAATTCCAATAAACTCTCTTCTTTCAAACTACTTTTGCATTACTTACTCAGACTTTTTTTCATATGTCTTAGAAGACTCCTCAATTCTCTTCTCCAGCTCCAAGACAGCCTCCTCCTTTTGCAAAAGCAACTGCTGTGTCTGCACAATTTCTTCTTCTAAAGTTTTCAACCTAGAATGAGATTGTCTTTTTATCACTGATACAATTATCAAGTTTCATTCATTTTATGCACACTCACAAAAGCCTTTATACATCTAAGTTTACTGCATCCAAAACCAAGAGTCATACGAAATTTAATTTGAATTACATACATTAAATAAAAATAAAATTTCAATTCCTTAGCTGCATAATCCATATTTCAAATGCTAAACATGTGACCAATCATTCAAGAGAGAGGAGAAAAAAATATTTCAGTAATCACAATAATATTCCTGGGTAGTGTTGTTCTAGAGAAAAAAAAGAGAAGCAGAAACAAAATAATGTTTGGGGGGGGCAGGGGTTTGAATGATAGATAAAATCAAATACCTGTTATACCCAAGGAAAAGTAATTATATAGCAGGATAGTTTTTATTTTCACACAAATGTGTATTTACATCATGGTTTTATCATCTTACCACAATGCTTGTATTCCCTGAACTTGCTCATAAGTAATCCAGGTATAGTGATAACTGTTCCAATAGTTGGTATGCACTCATAGAAATCAGTCTGCCTAGCATGATTTGAGAGTCTGGGAGTCACTCCATCAATTTTCTGCAAAAGGTGGGCACTTATGTTGGATAGCCAACAACAGTTCCCAGATATGGAAGGGTGATCCACAATACAGGAGGAGGCATGGGGGAGGGGAAAGCCATGAATGAGTAGAATTATTACTCATTCTCATTTTAAAGCAAACAAAGTAATTCTTAATTTTATAGAATAGTAACAATAACAGGCCCATTCCCCATACCCTGAAAGAGCCTCCAACATGGCAGCATTGGAAAGGACAGGTAAGGAGAGGCTGCAAAAATCTCAGGGCAAGGATGAATAGAGACATTACTGGAACCCAATCAAGGTAATCAATGAAGAATGGGATGACAGTGCTACAGTGGTATGGAATTTAAATTGACAGTAATCTGTTTCAAGTTGGAAGACAATATTTCAAACAAATAACACCCACAAAATAGGTCAGGGTACAAAACTAGCATCAGATATCAACTTCAGAATTTAGGAAGTTATAAGTGACAGAGAGTCATTTCAAAATGATCAAGATATAAATCCATCAGGAAGAACTCAGACACCTAAATATATATAAACCTAACAAGGGACCAGCAACATCTTGCAAGCCTCATACAACTACTACTAATACTTGAAGGAAGACATGATTGGAAGCACACTACTTTGAGTCTTCAGCATTGCTTTGTCACCACATAACAGATAAACGAGACTAAAACCCAAAAAAGAAATACTCGATTTGAAAGAAGAAATGGAAGAGATGGACTTAAATTTTAAGTCCCGCCCCAAAATAAAACGCAGGTCTAGGAAGAACTAGTAAGTTGTTTCAAATCTGTCAAGTAGAGCTGGCAACGCTTTTTAGGATCTTTAAGGAAATCAGAGAAACAGAAACACTTAAAAGTTTCTATGAAGGAAACATTACCTTATATCAAAAGCAGATAGAGACAGCACAAAAGAAGAATTATAGACTGATATCCTTGATAAGTGCCAAGACCCCCAAAATAATAAAAGAAAGAATCCAATTGCACATCAAAGAGATCATACATCATGGCCAAGTGGAATTCATCTTGGGATGCCAAGTCTGGTTTAACATGCACAAGTCAATCAATATATTATGCCACATCAATATAAGAAAAATATAAGATGAGCAATAAATGCCAAAAAGCATTTGCCATGATCCAAATCCCATTCATGATTAAAACTCTCAGAAAATGGAAATTGAAGGAATTTTCTCAACATAGTCAAAACCATTTACCACAATGCCACAACAAACATACTCAGTAGGGAAAAATTTAAAGCCTTCCTTCAAAGATCAAGCACAAGATCACAAGACAAAGTTGTCCTCTCTTACCACTAAAATTCAGCATACTACTGGAAGTACTTGCCATAGTGATTATGAAAGAAAAAGATATTAAGTACACCTTAATATATAAGGAAGAAGTCAAGCTCTCACTATTTGGAGAGATGATACTATATTTAGAAAATCCAAAAAGCTCTACAAAAAAAAAAAATCTTAGAAACAAGAGGTTGGTTAAGTTACATACCAGGTTACAAAATTAACATGCAAAAGTCCATGAATTTCCAATATACAAATAATAAAATAGAAGATATGTGTATTTTTTAAATCGCATTCAAAATCATACCTTAGAAAATAAAGTACCCTGAAATCAGCTTAATCAAAGTAGTGAAAGGTCTATACAAGAAAATTACAAAACACTACTTCAAGAAATAAAGACATAAAAAAATGGAAACACATTCCCTGCTCATGGACTGGGAAGATTTACATAGTCAAAATGGCAATATTCCCCAAACCATTATACTGATTCAATGCAGACCTTATAATGATATACATGACATTTTTCAAAATATAAATCGTACAGTCCTGAATTCATATGGAACAATAACCCTACTACCCCTAAAAGGCCAAGGCAATTGGTAAAAAATATAGGAGACAGAAGTTTCTACAACTTCAAACTCTACTATAAAGTGGTAAAATTTAAAAGCATGATACTGAAATAAGGACAGATCCTCAGATCAATGAAATAGACCATCGAGAGACAGATCCTTGGTATAAAACCAGTAAATTTTTGATAATGAGTAAAAAATTACAAAGTGGAGCAAAGAAAGTCTCTTCAAATGTGGTGCTGAGAGAACTGTTCAGCCAAGAGCAAAAAATAAACTCAAACTTCTTTCTAGCACCATGTACAAAAAGTGAAATCAAACAGATTAAAGATCTCTATATAATACCACTGTAGTACTGTAGCACTGCCCTCCCACTGTTCATCAATTTGCTCAAGCGGACACCAGTAACTTCTCCATTGTGAGACTTGCTGTTACAGTTTTTGGCATATCGAATATGCCACAGGGTACTTGCCAGGCTTGGCCATGTAGGCGGGATACTCTCGGTAACTTGCCGGGTTCTCTGAGAGGGACAGAGGAATCGAACCCGGGTAGGCCACGTCAAGGCAAACACCCTACCTAACTGCTGTGCTATCACTCCAGCCCATATAATACCATAATCCATAAAATACATAAACAAAATTTTAGGAAAAACTCTCCATGATATTAAAGCTAGAGGCATCCTTAAGGATGAAATGCCACTGTTCAGCAGGAAGAAGCAAAGATAAACAAATGGAATTGTATTAAACTAATAAGCTTCTTCATCTCAAATAAAATGATGTGCAGAATACAAAGATAATCCACAGTTAAGGAGAAATCACTTGTCAATTACTCATCAATAAATGGTTAATAACCAAGATATATTAAATATTTGTAAAACCCTTCATGGAAAAAAATCAACACTATAAAATAATGGGGACATGAACAGAGGCTTCCTCAAAGTACAAAGTACAAAGTACAAATACTTGTATTTGAGTGCCTAGATGCATATAAAAAAAGACCCTAAATCACTGATCATAAGGGAACTACAAATCAAAACAATAGTGAGATATGATCTCCCACCTGAAAGACAGGCACTCATCAAAAAAACAATAACAAGTGTTGGTGAGGATATGGGGTAAGAAAGTACTTACTCAATACTGGTGGGAATATTGACTGGTCCATTTTTTTGGACATTCCTCAAAAAACTAGGAATTAAGCTTCAGTAGGAGCCATCAATTCCATTCCCAGGGTTATATCCCAAAGGCCTCTAAGCACAATGCAGAAAAGACATCTACATTCCTATGTTTACTGCAGCACTATTCACAATAGCCAAAATATGGAAACAACCCAAGTGTCCAATAGATCACTGGATAAAGAAACTATGGTACATGTACACAATGGAATATTACTTGGCTACAAGAAAAGATGAAGTCATGCAATTTGCTTCTACGTGGATGGGGAATAACACATTGAGTGAAACCAATCAGAGGAAGAGAATCAGACTCAGAATGATCCATTTCTTTGAAGAATGTCATGGTTACCCTTATAGGGATCAAACTGAATGTGTATAATACTTTGGGGAGTATTGCCATTTTGACAATGTTAATTCTCCAAATCTATGAGCTGGGATGTGTTCCATTTCCTCCTGTCCTCTTTCACTTGTTGAAGTAGTGTTTTGTAGTTTTCTTTGTACAAGTCCCTTACCTCCTTAGTTATGCTAATTCTAAGGTATTTGATTTTTTTGATTTTCTGATGCATGACTGAAAACAGGATTGTTTTTATCATATAACTTTCTCCTCTCTCATTTGTGTACAGGAAATCAAGGAAGAAATTAAAAGATACATGGAAACAAACAAAAATGAAGACACATTCTACCACAACTTGTGGGACAAAGCTAAAACAGTGTTAAAGGGAAAAAAATTATTATCTCTACAATTATTTCTCAGGAAGGAAGAAAGGGCCCACATGAATAACTTGACTTCACAGATCAAGATCTTAGAAAAGGACCAATAAAAGGAGCTCAAACATGTCAGAATGAAAGAAATAATAAAAGTTAAAGCAGAAATTAATGACATGGAAACCAAAAAAAAAAATCTGAAAGATCAATGAAACCAAGAGCTGTATCTTTGAGAAAATGAACAAGACTGATACAAGACTCACAAAGAAAGAAAGAGAAAGAACCTGAATAAACTGAATCCAAAATGAAAAGGGGGACATTACAACGGAAACCAAACAAATTCAAAATATCATCAGAGATTACCTCTAAAATCTATATGCCATGAAATAAGAGAACCTAAAAGAAATGGATAAATTCCTGGATTTCTATACCCTCCCAAAGTTGACCCAAGAAGACTTGGAATACCTGAATAGTTCTGTCACCTTCAAGGAAATTGAAACTGTAATCAAAAGTGTTCCCAAAAGCAAAAGTTGAGGTCCATGTATTCACTAGCGAACTCTTCCAAACATTTAAAGAGGACCTATTGCCAGTTCTTTTCAAGCTTTTCCAGGTATTTAGGAAACAGAAATACTCCCAAACAGTTTCTATGAGACACATATCACCCTAATACCAAAAGCAAACA